GGCGACCGTGGCAGCGGCCACCGGTAGAGGTGGCAATATGGGTCAAAAACCCATTTATTAACTCATTTTTAGTGGGCCCAAGTTGAATATGTGTTACTTGAAATTTTGAAAACAGGTCAAAATGGATTTACAACATTAAAGCCCAAGTTTATATGAGTCAAATATGGATTGAATATGGGTTTGTTGTAAACCCATTGACAAATCCATATTCAACCCATATTTGACCCATTTAAGTTATTAACTTGTATCCTTATAGGCGAAATAGTTTAAGTGTCATTTAAAAAAAATTATTTTTTATTTTTTTTAAAAAAATCGAACTTTAAATTATTTTTTATTTTATTTTATCTTTTTCTTTTTTTTTATTTTGCCAGGCTTGTCCAGATCGGGGAGCTCGAGCTCGCGATATGGACGAGCCTCGAGCTTGAAGCTCGCCAGATTCCGGTGAGCTCGAGGCTCGTTCAACGAGCTCGAAAGCTCGCCAAGATGGATGAGCTGGAGCTCGCCGACCTCTGGCGAGCTCGAAGCTCGTCGAACGAGCTCCAGCTTGCGATTTGGACGAGCCTCGAGCTTGAAGCTCGCCAGATTTCTAGCGAGCTCGAGGCTCGTCCGACGAGCTCGAAGCTTGCCAATCTGGACTAGCTGGAGCTCGAGCTCGCCGAACGAGCTAGCCTGTAGCCAATCGCGTACCAAAGAAGAAGGAAAAATAAAAATAAAAAATAATAATTAAAAATTTTCATTTTTAAAAAAATAAAATGAAAAAAATAAAGATATTTAAAAATAAAAAAATATTTTTTTAAATTATAGAAATTGTTCACTTATTTTATATTGCATTGAAGCATTTTAGCAATATAAATAGTATAAGAAACAAGTTTTTTAAAATTGGATTTTAAAGTGTTTTAGAATACGGGTTAGGTTGGGTATAGGTAATGTATGAGTTGGGTTGGATATGAGTCATTAGATTTACACTACATGAATATGGGTCAAAACGGGTTAAATGAGTCAATATGGGTCGGACCATTTTCGACCCGACCTGATCCAAACCTGACCCAACCTGATCCACCGGTTTGACACCTCTAGCCACTGGCGAGGGCTTGGCCACCGCCACAACTGCGAGTTGGGGTCTTTTTCTCTTTTTTTTTTTAAAATTTTTTTTAAAAAAAATTTATAACTTTTTTCTAATTTAATATATAATTTTTAAATTTTTTCTGACGTGGTGTTTGTTTTTTTTTTTTTGTCCGAACGTGGTGCTTGTTAGGTGCAACATAATCGCCACGTGTCTCAAGAAAAGTAATAAAATAAGACACGTCAACGCCGCGTCAGCATTTTCCGTTAGTAAATTAGACGGTATTAACTTTATGACTCGATTGAACTATTTTGATAAGTTTTAGAACTCGATTACACCTTTTGCAAATTTTAGGACTCAATGGCACCTTTGTGATAAGTTTTAAGACTTCTAGTACACATATCCCTTCTTTTTTATTTTCCTAAAATCAATCTCTCTCTCTGTCGGCATCCCTTCGTTCCTCAAGGGCCCAGGTTCCCAATTCCCTTTCCTTGTGGGTCTCGACTCCCTACCTTGGTTGCAATCTTCCGAGATGGAAATGAATCACACCATGCAATATAGTTTATTTTTTTAGGAGTCAAATTCTGACATTTTTGACAAAGTCAATGCCTAATCTTCATGAAATACGAAGGAGACATTTTGGGATGAAAAATTTTAGTGTCAACAAGCATGAAAGACACCGATCTGAAGATTTGTTTTGCTGTTTTCCCTATAGTAGGAAGTCTGATAATACGGGCACAGGTGAATAGAGCAAAACCTCCAAAAACTACGCAAAGACCTCCAAATCGATTCAACGACCTAGGTTCAAGAAGTGAGTGAGCACTAGGACGTGATTTAAGGGTTGGCACAAGAAATGTGGTCCATTAAATGTGCGAAGATCAATGAGGAGAACCATTGCAAATTTGTAAAGGAGCCACATCACCTATTTATCGTACACTCATTTTATCTTAAGGAAAAGATTACAAATATCTTAGGGAAAAGATTACAAAAAACCCCAAACTATGTCACTTGTGACAAATTTACTCTTAACTTTTTTTGTGAAAATTTCCCAGCTATGCTTGAACTTGTGATATATTTACTATAATACTTTGGCCAATGGCGTTTTCTTTTTTTTTTTTTTTTTCCTTTCTTCTCTCTTCCCTCCACTTTGGCCATGGTGGAGGGAAGTCGCGAGAGCCACCCTCGCCGGCGTTGGGGTTGGGCGAGGCTACCCTCACCCGCCCGGGCGAGCGAGGCGGCCCTCGCCGGCTTCCCTCCGCCATGCTCGGCGGAAGGAATAGAGAAGAAAGGAAAAAAACCAAAAAAGGAAAAAGGCGAAAATGCCCTTGAACCAAAGTATTGTTGGGTAAATGTGTCATAAATGGTATAATTTGAGGTTTTCATGTCAAAAAAAGGAGTAAATTTGCAAATTCGTCAAGGAGCCACATCACCTATTTGTCGTACACTCATTTTATCTTAATTGGTAAAATGTCACGTGCATTGCACATGTTAAGACCACATGTGTTTTTGAAGATGTACATAAATCAAATTAGATTAAACACGATTTAAGGATTCTTCGTATGAATTTAAGTGTAATTAAATAAACCATTGATACTGACATTTTCTCATGTTAATCATACATAATGCGACAACTTATTATCTATCAATTTTTTTGTGAAATCAACGAATTTTCTCGGACATGAAATAACAATAACAAACAAACTCCAGATAAAATAGCGGTGAAAATTGAATAGTAACATATAGAGAGAGAGAGACTAATAAATAATTTATGCAAAAGAGCAATGAAAATAGAAAATTAATAATGCACATGGACCGAGGTAAATGTATGAATTGTCAAATTTGACTCCTTGGTACAATTGGGGCCTGCAAAGTGTTTTTACCTATGAAAAACCCAGCTTTGTTACATCTAATGTGAAAAATGATATAAACAGTTTTTGAATTTTGGCTCAAGATGTAGATAAAGTTGGCCCGGTATACGTGTGACAATTTTTTAGGAACTAATTTTTAATATTATTTTTTATTTTTCGAATTTTTTATTAATTTTTTATTTTTCTTTACCTTTTTTCCTTTCTCTTCAACCTCTGGACCAAAAGTTCGGGAACGACATTGAACAATTAAAAGTTCGGCCGGACTACATTGCACATTGAGTTAAAATTCGAGGCTCGCATTGAATAAATTATTGGTGAGGTATATTCGCCTTAGTCAAAATCGGCGAGTTTGAGCCTTTCGCTTATATAATTATATTGTAAGCGTCCAATAGCATTTGATGTGGCTTATTTTTCTCATCGACCAATAGCTTTTCATTTTATGGTCTTCGTCGTATAAAACTACGACTTTTTGTACCAATAACATTTGATTGGTTTTCGTACTATTTCCTCGACCCGTGAACGCAACCTCTTTCTCTATTAAGCACGTGAAGAACTTCTTCAGATCTGGATCAGAGAGAGAGAGAGAGAGAGAGAGTTCTGCTAAGGTGAGCAAACTACTGCTATGGTGAGCTCAAACGCAGGAACGCCATATGAATTTGAGTATGAAGTATTCCTGAGCTTTAGAGGACTCGATGCTTGTCTCACTCTACAGTAGCTTAATCGATGCTGGAATCAGAGTCTTCCGAGACGACGAAGACTTCCGTATCGGTAAAAGGATTGATGGATCACTTCTGCAGGCTATCAACAACTCCAGGATCTACATATCTATCTTCTCTTGGAATTACGCTTCAAGCCCATGGTGCCTCCATGAGCTCTCACAAATCATGGCAAACACCTTAAAATCGGAAGGTAACAAAGAAATTCTACCTATTTTTTACAATGTGGCACCTGACGATGTTAAGCTAAAGACTCTATTGTACGACGATACCTTGCAAAAATTGAATGAGAGGTTCGGGAAGGAGCAAGTAGATGCATGGAGAAAGGCTCTCACGGAGGTTGATGTGACAAAGGGGTGGGAAGTGCAGGACTACAATGAGTAAGCCAGCTGCTTTCAAAATGCTTGTTTTCCCCAATTTTCCTTAACACTTAAATCATAGATGTGGTAAAAACCTGTATGATTTAGGTGGGAATTTTATTATAGTAATACTAAACGATGAACCAACGCTACGTTTGTCAAAAAATGTGAAGCTGCATAACAAGGTCGTCTTACATAATGGGCGAAACATTGATATTAATAGCTAGGTAGCTAAATCAATATTTAATAATGCACATGGACCGAGGTAAATGTACGAATTGTCAAAGTTCACTCCTTGGGTTCCGCGCATGTCTTGCCAAAATCAGTGATCGTTTTCCACGTGGGCCTGCAACTGGATGCACGACAGTTAATATAAACATAAATATATAACGTTTGATTCCTTGGCTTCCGTGCATGGGGCCTGCAAAGGTGTGTACCTATGAACACGCCAGGTCCGTCATGTATAGTAGAAAAAAATGATACAAATAATTTTTAAATTTTGATTTAATATATAATATTATTTTTGAATTTTAAATTTATTTAATGTAATTTATGAACTTTAGCATAATAATCATTACGATTCTTGAGCTTTTAATTTATTTAATGTGATTATAAATTTTTGATATATATTTAATATAATTTCTAAACTTGAATTAATATAAGAATTATATTGAATATTTTAAATATAGTTTAGGAACTAAATTGAATATGGGCCAAAAAAATTCAAGAATGACATTAAACAAATTAAAAGTTTAGGGATTATATTATATATTAAATTAAAATTTAGAGATTATATTAAACAAATCAAAAATTCAAGAAGCATATTATACATTAAATTAAAATTCATAAACTGTTTATATCATTTTTCCCATATAATTATATTGTAAACGTCCAATAGCATTTGATGTGGCTTATTTTTCTCATCGACCAATAGCTTTTCATTTTATGGTCTTCGTCATATAAAAGTACGACTTTCTGTACCGATAGCATTTGATTGGTTTTCCTACTATTTCCTCTTGACCCGTAAACGCAGCAGCCTCTTTCTCTGTTAAGCACGTCAAGAACTTCTTCAGATCTGGATCAGAGAGAGAGAGATAGATCTGCTAAGGTGAGCAAACTACTGCTATGGCGAGCTCAGATGCAGGAACGCCATATGAATTTGAGTATCAAGTGTTCCTGAGCTACAGAGGACCCGACACTCGTACTGGAATCACCGACTACCTCTACACTTGCTTAGACGATGCTGGAATTAGAGTCTACCGAGACGACGAAGAGCTCCGTATGGGTGAAAGGATTGATGGATCACTTCTGCAGGCTATCGACAACTCCAGGATCTACATACCTATCTTCTCTCGGAATTACGCTTCGAGCTCATGGTACCTCCGTGAGCTCTCACAAATCGTGGCAAACACCTTAAAATCGGAAGGTAACAAAGAAATCCTACCTATTTTTTACGGCGTGGCACCTGACGATGTTGAGCTGAAGACTCCACTGTATGATGATGCCTTGCAAAAACTGAATGAGAGGTTCGGGAAGGAGCAAGTAGATGCATGGAGAAAGGCTCTCTCGGAGGTTGATGTGACAAAGGGGTGGGAAGCGCACGACTACACTGGGTAAGCCAGCTGCTTTCAAAATGCTTGTTTTCCCCAATTTTCCTTAACACTTAAATCATAGATGTAGTAAAAACCTGCATGATTTAGGTGGGAATTTTATTATAGTAATACTAAATGATGAACCAACGCTACGTTTGTCAAAAAATGTGAAGCTGCATAACAAGGTCGTCTTACATAATGGGCGAAACATTGATATTAATAGCTAGGTAGCTAAATCAATATTTGATCGTGGGCAGTGGGAGGAAAAAGAGTGGGATAATGAAATGCCATGCACGTTCCTATCTAATCAGCTAAGCTTTCGATACGTTAAACAATTCTCCTCTTGTATACACGATGTTCAACTTATATATTCGTCGCTTGAACATAAATCATAAAATGTCAATTACAAATGCATAGATATTTATACACCTATTTTGCATGAAAGTTGTTAACACAATCCCAACATTGCTAATCTCATGTTGGAATCAAGTCAAATTTCAGGTCATAACATGGCGCACGCGTTACTAAGTGCATAAAAAGTATGTTTTGGAGTAATATTAATATTAAGATGGACACTTAGAAGATCACTTCTGGATTGTTAAGCTCTTATTGTTTATTGGATTATTGTGTAGTCTATCCGATACTTGAATAAAATCACTTCTAGCTAGGTAATCTTGGTTTTGCATTTTTCCCCACTAAAATGGTTTTCCATTGTGGCAGCCTAGGCCAACCGATCAAATTGATAGTTAAGGAGGTTGTGAAAAAGCTACAGACAAGACATACATTGGTGATTGAACGTTTAGTTGGAATTGATGATCAGATACCGGCAATAATCAAACAATTAGACATCAACTCTGGTGATGTACGACTCATTAAAATCTATGGCATGGGGGGTATCGGTAAAACGACTCTCACCAAGGTCGTATTCAACCGACTCTCTTCTCATTTTGGAAAGAATTGTTGTTTTCTTGAAAATATTCGAGCGAAGTCGTCAAGAACTAATGGCATGGTTGAGTTGCAAAAAGAGTTATTAGCCAAAATTGGACATCCTGCACGAACAACAAACGTTGATGAAATTGATTATGGAGTGAAGATGACTGGAGAAGCACTTTCCAATGAGAAAGTCCTCATTGTGCTTGATGATGTTGATAACAGCGAACAAGTAGAGAAATTAGTTAGAAAGGGTACTTTGTGTTCAGGATCTAGAATATTGATTACAACTAAAGATAAAGATGTTTTGCGAAACAATAGCCCAAAGTATCAAATTCTAGATTATGAAATGAAGATGATGAGGTCTAATCATGCACTTAAGCTTTTCAGTTGGCACACATTCAATAGAGACTCTCCTTCAGATGATTACCATGTTCTTTCAAGGGAAATCATATCTACTACCGGGGGACTTCCGTTAGCTCTTGAAGTAATTGGTTCATTCCTCAATAAAAAAACGAAAGAACTATGGATAGAGACATTGTACAAGTTAAAAGAAGTACCTCACAAGGATGTTTTTGCAAGGTTACAGATTAGCTATGATGCCTTAACTGACAAGCAACAACAAATTTTCCTTGATATTGCATGCTTTCTTATTGGTGAGGATAAGACAAATGCAATTTACATGTGGAGAGACTGTGGACTTTTCGCAGATATTGGAGTTGATGTCCTCGTTTGCATATCTTTGGTAAAGATTGCAAAGAACAATACGTTTTGGATGCACGATCAACTTAGAGATCTTGGAAGGGAAATGGTTCGTCTAGAAAATCCAATGAATCCCGGAAAGCGGAGTAGGATATGGACTTCCTGGGAGGTCCTCGATGCAATAAGAACAAAGGAGGTAAGGCACTTCTAAAGAGAACCAATAGATAAAAATTCCTCTACACTGACTAAGGATGCTCTATGTTTGTCCTATTTTTTTATAATCCTTTTCCTCTTTGAATTAGAAATACTGATGTCACTCATTTCCTGTTCTCATTTGCAAATGAGCAGGAACGTTCAAGCACTATCTCTTGATTTACATGCACAAAGTTTCGACAATAACGTTGCTTTAAGTAAAGAGATTGGAAGGTTTGAACATTTAAGGTTCCTTAAATTACTTAGAGGAACCTTTGCAGGTGACTTAGCAAATTGTCTTCCCAACTTAAGATGGATTTCTTGGTATGTTCCTCCGCGAATGGGTGAATGGAGCAACATGTACCTAAAGAATGTTGCCGTTCTTGAATTTAACGGCGTTGACTTGTTAGATGATTCGAGATTACGAGACTTAATTGATGTGTGTAATATGCTCATTTCTATTATATTTTCTTTGAATGTAATATATGGCTGTTCATCCATTGACTGTTGCATTCATTTTGACAGAGGGCAAGAAAATTGAAAGTTCTCTCTCTTAAAAGTTGTCACAACATAATCAAAACACCAAATTTCTGTGGATGCCCAAATTTAGAGAGGCTTACTTTCGAAGATTGTTCCAATTTGAGGGGAATACACGGCTCTATTGGGACATTAGAGTATTTGATTGACCTGAAGATTGATATGTGTTTTTGTCTTGAAGATTTGCCTGAAGAAATTGGGGACCTAGTGAATCTGAAGCACTTCTTTGTACAGCGGTGTAAAGTGAAGAAACTACCAAAATCCATATGGAAGTTGAAATCACTACGTGGTATGCACTTCTCAAGTCGCTTAGTTTCAGAAGATTTATGGGAGTTACCTAGTGCTATTGGAATGCTTCGTAATCTGGAAGTGCTTCTAGTCAATAGTCTCAATTTAAAAGGTCAACTTCCTTCTGGGATCGGAAGTTTGCGCTTTCTAAGGAATTTAAATCTATCATATACTCATGTTAGTGAAATTCCAAAGACCATTAGGATGCTTCGTAGCTTGAAAAGATTAGAGTTGATGGCATGTCATAAAATTCAGGAGTTGCCGACGCTCCCAACAAGTTTAACCCATCTACAAGTGCCATCTGCATCATTGAAAGCAGTCTAGAATCTCTCAAACTTGACTAATTTGGTTGAGTTGGATCTAATGATAGTGGAGAAGGAGGAGATAAACTCTGTCTCGATGAGTTATAGTGGATTGAGAGGTTATCCAAACTAACTAAATTGAGCTTGGGACTTCACAATGTCTCCACTCCTGCTGAGCGGGCTTCCCTTCCTTTGCTAAACCAACTTGCTTTGTTTGGATTGGACTTGCAAACCTTTTCACAACTATCCTTGTTTCTGCCAAAGTTGTGCCTTGATAATTTCTAATTCAATTATGTCACTCTCTCTGAAGTCGATCAATTTGTCATGTTTAGTGGTCTCTCAGTCTCCAATGCAAGAATTTCAACTCAATGGGCTTCAACTTCCACATGTGAGGGAGTTGCTTGTGGAAAGGTGTGTTCCCCTCCAGAGATTCAGGCTATCAAGCACGAGGAAGTTGAAAGATGTCCAGGTGAGATATTGTCCAAAGCAAGTTGAGATCCATTTCTCTTGGGTGTTCGAATCACTGGAGTTATTGTCTTTTGAATTGTGCAAGTCCTTCGAAAGGCTGGTTTATGTGGGGAAAGCAGCACATGATAATAATGAGTCTGCTAATGAGTTGATTAGTTGAAAGGAGACCAATCCTTCCGTCGGGTCTTAAATAAGTTGCAGATTCTCACGCTATTGAAAGCAGAGTATGTCGGAATCATGGGAACACTTCAACGTTTGGAAATGTCATTATGTGCAAAGTCTTGCTGGTTTGTCAAACTTAAGAACCTCAGGTCTTTTAATACGTGACAGCGATGCGCTACGGGTTGTCAAGGCCTTGATGAGCTAGAGTTTTTAGATATTTTACAAGTTCATGAATGCAGATCGTTGGAAAGGTTGATGTATGAAGCACCAAATTACCAAATCATTGCCATATACGTATCTCGGGTTGCAGGAAAGACTTTTGGGGCTCCCTCGACTCTTTCAAGCACCATAAGGTGAGTCTGACTGAACCACCCCCTTCTTCGTATAGTTAACATTTGATTAACCGAGAAGATAGATTTGGGATTACAGTTTACTATTGTTATCGGATCAATAAAGACGTCATCGACAACAATAATGCATTCAAATTGATGTCACTTGTTCTGACACTGATGTAAATTTTGGCATATCTAAAAGTATTATTTTTCCAATTGCGTTTTCTCATTATCCTTTTCTCGTTTCCTACTTCCTTTTTTCCTTCTTCCTTTCCTTTCCGTCCATGAGAAAGTTTCAAAATTTAGATAAGCTAGGGGACAAGGTAAGTTGGTATCAAAATAAGTGGAAGAACTTCATTAATCCAGAAGAAAAGTCATCATTCAGTTTCTTACTATTCAACAAGGGTCGTTCATCTTCGTTCTTCATCATTTACTAGGAAGGAACTCCACTTTTCTTAAGTGCTTCAAGCTCATTCTAAGGATTCATCGTTTCCCGAGCACATAATTATAGTTTAAAGCGGAGTACGTTGTTTTGCCGTGCCCTGGCGGGTGCCGGAAACTCATTATCTCGGTCTATTGGTTTGGTTTGGATAGCCCGGATGCGAGGCTTGGTGACGTTGCTTAGTTTCTCCGAATCACGTGTTTGTCCTTCATGGTCTTAGTGTGAAACTGGTCTCATATTGTTGGCTCCCCAGGATCGGGACCCCCATTTTTCTGGCCGAGTGATTGGATAGCTATATATGTTCATATTGATATCTATGTCATTATTTAATGCCCCAAGTGTTATGAATAGTTTTTGATGCTGTCTCTAAGTATAAGGTAATTTATATATTCATCTTCATGCCATAAAGTGTCTCATTGACTTTGGTTATCTGTTGGTCTGGTTTTTCCAGCCTTGTAAGGGTGAATTTTGGCTTCATTGAAGTGCCTTTTCAATCATCCTTGCTTGTATGTTAGTCTAGTTATGTTGTCATCATTATTCTATATTGTTTTCCCGTCGTATTAAAGCATTTCGTATGATTTTCCTTTTCGGATGTGGAGGTGGTACGCCTCCCTACCTCTTTGACATCATTTAATCCTTTGTACAAGCCCCGAGCCAACTCTCACGGGTCCTCATGGCTCGGGGATGCGTCGGGATGAGTTTTGAATGTTTTAATGTCATTATAAAGTCCAAAGAAGGTGTACACGCCCGCTGTTCACGCTGGTAGGCGTGCTGGACAGGGGCGACTTCGCGTGCTTTTGATTTCATCTTGTGTCCTCGTTGCGTCCCAGGTTGGCCACTATTGGCCCTTATGACCCCGTGGACGCGTCG